ATAGCCAAAACTTTCGCGTTTGTGACAATAATAGCCAATTTTGAAGAAATACCACTTATAGCCAGATTTTGTAGTTGTTTAGGACAAATCTAGCCATTTCTGCTAAAGTCTTTAACGGTGTTAGTAATATCGTCAACTTCTTTGACTTTTTGCTGACTAGGCTCTCACTTAGCGCACACATCAGCGCCAAATAAGCTACACATCATATATTAAATTTATTTAATAATTATACATAATAAATTAATCAAAAATTACTTTGCCTTAAAAAAAAACTGGGATATTTTTTTCCTCGGCACCACAACAACCCTGCACTGCCATTCCAATCTAAAAATCCATTTAGCGATTTCCATTCAATCTCATCCCCAAATGCATCTACAGTTCCACTGCTGCAATTAATCTCTGCCCAGCATCGGAGAATCTGGTAACGAGTGATCATCTTGCAATTATTCGATCCTTCTCCATCTCTGGCCCCGCCGTCGCCACCCGGGAAGCGACCCGAGCTTCTGTCATGGAAGTCAGATGGGTAAGTGGAGAGAAGCTCGGAGGGAGAGAATTTAACTGGGTTGGTTTATATTGAAGTGAGGACAAGAAGCTACTGCTCTTCTTGTGGATCTGGTTCCGACCTACCGTTGCGGAATGACAGCAATGCCAAGAGACAGAGGACGGACAGGAGCACCGCCGGTTGTGGATCTAGATCTGGCAGAAGCGAGTGGCATCCTGGATGTGTCTAGGGAAGTGCTTGGCTCTGGGAAAAATAGGAGAAAGTGAAATTTTTTTGGATGCAGATGAGGAGGTGGTAAAGCAATGGAGAATACAACAACTCCAGATCTCCACGACGAACGGAGAAGCGGAAATAAGAGTAATTCAATTTTTATCCCCATATATTTTTCATTCCTTAAATCCACGTGGATATTTACCGAAAAAATTAGAGATAAGAGCTTGCCACGTTAGTATTTCCGTTTGTACAGTCATAATTAACGCTAACACCGTTAAAGAATTGGACGGAAGTGGTTATAAGTGGTATTTCTCCAAAATTGGCTATTATTGTCATAAATACGAAAGTTTTTGCTATACAAGTGTATTTTGAAAAAAAAAATTTGGATTGTATACATCATATCCTTTGATAATATACGTATCAATTCATTGAAGAAAAAAGTAATATTCAAGTTGCTTTGATTTTGTTTCGATATTGTGAAGATTTTGATCAGACTTACCTATCATTATTTTGTACTTCAAAATTTTACTACACTCTAATTTCCACTACTCTGTCTGGTGGACAATTTTATATAGGGGTGTGCAATGGTCCGGTCTGTATTGGATCGTACCTGACCAAACTTGTATTTGGACTGGACCAGTTCGTACCGAATCGAGTATAATGCGGTTCGATCCTTGGTTCTATAAATTTTTATAATTATTGAAGAAAACATGGACCAAATTGATAATTGTACCGAACAAAATGGACCGAATACAATAATGGTTTGATCCTTGATACTAAGATATTTTTCACGAAAAAACCACAATTGTGATGAGTTTGATCTGATCTGCACCAGACCAAACCATTGCACGGTCCTAATTTTAGAGAGGTCGGTGCAAATTACTGAAATAGGATCGTCAATTATGGCTGTGGAGACAACTCATTATGAATTTGACAATTTTAACCTGAACCCCCTTTCCTTTCTATTCCATTGGTGGGCGACACGTACGTAATGTTTTAGTATTCCAAGTTTTACATATATTGTATATTTGCGACCAAGTCAGGTGTTTTGCAGGGCAGCAGAGTTAATCATATATGATAATTAACAAGATTGAAGGAGAGAAAGTGATTTGGGGCGACAATTAAGGTGGCCTGGCCATGCATGCAATTCCAGAATTATGGATGGGCTTCTTTTGTTGGTGTTAGCAAGAAAATGGGGGACCAACCCGACCCAAAGGGACTGATTTCATACAATATATTAATTAAGGGACCACGATAGATAAGAATATGACTTATCACTTCACCACAAAGTGATTAAAATGTATCTTGTTCTTCTCCCTCCACTCCATCACCCAATAAGATAACTACTAGTTTGTTGGGGCAATTTTCGAAAAATAAACGGAAAGCAAAAAGGCAACGATTTGAGAGTGATGAAGAGGATATTATTGTCATTATCACTATCATTATTACTAACTACTATTATGTTCAGGTTCATCCTAGAACAAAAAATGTAAGCATTGACGTTTTTACGAGTCATGAATCACCATCAAATTAGGGTTAAAAATGAGCCCAACCCGTCACTCACCCGCTTCTGAAGGGTCAAGATGTATAACTGACCCAAGTGGGTCGACCCTAAAAAATACACTATTTTTTTTAAATTACAATTTGGTATCCAAATTTATTTTTTCATACATTTAAGTGCCTAATTTTTTTACAAATAAGTCCAAAAAATGTGATGGTAAAATTATGTTTTGGTACCCATTTTTTTACAATTTAGTACCTAAACTTTTAAAAGTTTACAAATAAGTCCAGCATGTTTGTATGTTGCTAAGGGTCATAGGGTCAAAAAGTGACCCGACCCTACCTGACCCTGACCCAACCCTATGTTGATCCGACCCTAAGCTAACCCTGTAGACAAATTGACCCAGCCCGACCCTCAGGGATGGGGCGGGTCGGTGGGTTTTAAGGGTCAAACTTGCACCCCCTATCATCAATACTTTGTTATATAAAGATATCGATTCCAGATAGTGATGTCTGATTTTAATTATAAAATGTTGTCATTGTGGAGGATACCCTTAACTAAAAAATGAGTGCGACAGATGGATGATCCTACGATCATATTTTTTTTTAAATATTTTGTTATAGTTACGACAAGGGTTAAACTTTATTTTGGCCCGAACTATAATCATATAATCAATTTTGGACCGTGATTTCAGAAATTAACATCCTGGCCTCAACTATGCAACATATAGACTAAATTGGCCTGACACATGGTCTGACCGTCAATTTGGACGGTTAACACCATTGACCGTTAGTTAACACGCCATGTCATTCCCTCGCCAACCTAAATATCATAAAAAAATTTAATTCAAAGTATTTTCATAATTTCTATTATTTTTCATTTTCTATTATTTATCATTTGTGCAAAAAAAAAAATCGAAATTCGAGTTAAAATCGAACTCGTTCCACTCTTAGATCTGAATTTTTTGAATAAGAGTCCAGATTTAGTTACTGATAGGTGCATTACCATGAGTTATGCACTGTATCTTGAGCAGTTGAGCCGGCTTAGCCCTCTTGTCTCTTTGTATTTTTGGTATTGTTTAAAAAAAAGAAATTAGGAATGTTAGTTATTGGAACTACCCGAACATATGTACATACAAAATTTTATGGAATGTTAGGTATTTACAACAAAATTTTACTCCTATTGTCAAAATGAAAAGTTCCATTTATACCAAAAAAGAAAGAAAGAAAGAAAAGTTCCATGTTAGTTTGTGAAGGAGAAAAAAGTAATAGAAAAAGATCAACAAATTGCCCTTTTCCGCTTTTCAATGGCCTAACACTTAACAGTCTGATTTCTTCCATCATTTATGACAATTGGTTCGGTCCGTTTATAATATGAACCATTTAGCTAGTTCTTGATTAATCGGTAAGCACTTTGTGCAGATCGTTTATATTAGCAGATCAATAAAAAATAATTTAATATAGCTAGCAATTCATAATCAACTCAATCCAAGTACAGTATTACAGTTACAATAGGCAAGTGATATTGTAGGCCTTGAAACATCTCGTTCTTTTTGGCCTATCCCTACGGCTCATTGAGGCCTATTATTTTTGGCCCATTTAATAGTCAGATACTAAACATTTAACCTTTGGTTGGTAATTAGCTAAATTTGACTACCGAGAGCTGACCATTTATAATTTAATCAGTTATCAATGTAACCGTTAATCATCAATTTCGAATAGATTATCCAGTAGTGGTAACCGTTTACCAGCCATTCATGGCTTTGCCAATAATATACTATGTTATGGAGTATGGAATGGACCACAAACACAAATATTTGGAGATTTATTATGTTAAAGCCTCCTCGTCAGGACAAAAATTCATCCCAAGTGGTCTGGGACTCTGGGTCGACGTTGTCCAAGTCGCTGCTTGGGCTTTCGCGGGTTAGAAGTTCAGCAGCGAAGGCCCTAGAATTCGGGCTTTTCACCACCGTGTCCACTGCGACGGCGGCCGGTAATGCAATTGGGTAGGGGCGGCGATGTTTGTTGAATGTTTGAGTAACAGCGCAGAGAACAAGTGGGAAGGATGAAGGATGGATTGGAGGCGTGCGGGAGAGGGAAAGTTTCGCTGACTTGCAGTCAATGTATTCGATGAAATGCCTTGCAGCGCAGCCGGACATCGGCACCTTGGGTTGGCCTTCTTGGGCATTTGGAGAGGTTGCAAGTCGGGAACGATGTCGCCGTCCCGGGAATTTTCCCCTCACGACTCGCCGGATCCGAAATGGGCATTCTCTTAAAAACTGGTTGGTCCTTTCTTTCGTGCTATTCGAAGCTACAAGGCACAATACTAAGTTTTCGCTCTTTAATTTTGTCCTTAACTTGGTTGTCGTTGATCATAGTGAAATAAATTTGATTCCGAGTTCTTCTGTCAGCTTCCTTTCTCTCTTCATGTTCTCGATCAGTCTTAGAGATTGAAAATAACGATATTCTATTAACTTGAATAGTACCAGACCACCTATTTGGCTATTTCTATAATGGGGTTTCCCTTTCTTAGACCACCTATCTTGATTGCTCCCTACCTATCAATCGCAACGTCAATTTTGTCTTTCCATCCTTCCCTTGTTCTTTTCCTTCTTGTTTATTCGAAAAGCCAAGAAAGGAGCCAAATTTTGTATATAAAGGTCAAGTCTTTCTTGAAAAACGGTGTCAAAACAACAGCTTAGCCTGTAGTGCTTCTTATTGACTCAATTTGGCAATCTCCTTAAATCATTTGAGAAATCAGAAATTCCTTCACGAGGGAGTAAAGATGTCAGAGGAGTCTGATTCCTGTGCTGGAACTGATCCTTCGGGGAGTAGTTCCAACTTGGACTTTTGGTACAGCTTGTACTCTGGCCAGGAAGCTGATGCCGCTGGTGGTAAATTGCAGGAGGAGCAGGAGCAGGAGCAGGAAAACTCAGCTTCCAAGTTGGAGGTTGATTGGGGCTATGTTTTCGATAACTTACCTAAGAATACAAAATCAAAGAGGAGAAAGGATTATGGTTACAGCAGCGGGGTGAATAGTGCAAGTGACCTTTCAGAGGCTCTGTCTTCTATTTCTGCAGCACTGAGTCTTTCTTCTTCAGATTCTGGTAAAACGGATGATAGCAATGAAGGAGGAGATGCTGAGAAGACAAGACAAGACGAGGTAATTGTGGACTGATTCCTGTTTTTGTCATCAAGCTCTTTTGCGTACCTTAATCATATTACTTTTTTTTTTGCCATAGACCTTAATCATATTACATGTCTGAGTTCAAGTTTCATCTCTTGAAATGCCTGCGAGTTGGTGTGTTTTAGTTGCATTTCCTAATTGTGATTTTACCACTCGGATTAGTCAAATTGAAAGAACCAGAAGTTACAAGTGATATGTCAAATTACACGGCTCAAGTGTTGGGCCTTTAGCTCTGCGTTGGTATTGGGGTAGAAATGATTTGGAACAAAAAAGTAGTTTTCTTCGGATCCAGATGAAGATTCTGAGGGATGCATTTGCTGCATAGTGGGTCTCAAATTTTTTCCTTTATTCGATTCCCTATTTGAGGTAATGGCTTACCATGACGTTACAGAACAACATAGAGTGATGCTTCAGGTACAAGCTATGTGGGGGTGGGACTTCGAATTGCCCTGAGATTTGAAGTTGTGTACATTCTTGTTTGGTCAAATTTGGAATGCCAAACACATTTATGCTTGAAGCAACAGTTTATCCTTGATGATCTTATCAATAATAGATGCCATAACATTTTTTCCCCTTTTGTTTGTAACCAGGAGATGCTTAATTGGGGCACACACAATTTTGACATTCATTCATTTTCACAAGAGAGTGATGCGGATGATATGTCGATATCAGAGACTGGTGGCTACTTGCAGGAAAAGTCAGCTTTTGATATTGGTGGTGGAAAGGAGCAACAGAAGCTTCAGCTACCAGAAATGGGGATGAGATTTGATTCCGAGGAGGAGGCTTACCAATTCTATAAAACTTATGCTCAAGCAACTGGTTTTAGAGTAAGAAAGGGAAAGGTGCAGCGCTCTGCCGATGGAACTATCAGAAAACGATATTATTTTTGCTCAAGGCAAGGCTTTCGTTCCAAAAAGCAGCTGACCAAGAAAACAAAGTACAAGAGAAAAGAAACTAGGATGGGCTGCAAAGCCCATGTATGCTGCGTAACTGAGGATGGAAAGTGGGTTCTCTCCCATTGTTCTCTTGAGCACAATCATGAGCTTCTTGGTCCGCAACAGAAGAACAGCAGCACAACCTCAGAGGCTAACATGACTACTCACTTGACAGAAAATGCTCAGGTGGATGCTGCACTTCAACAAGATGTAGCAAAAATTACCAGCAAAATATGCAATCTTCAATATCAAGATGCACAAAGTTTATTAAGTTATTTCAGAGGCATCCAGATGGAAAATCCATCATTTTTATATGAAGTACAGCTTGATGCCAACGGATTAATGTCAAATGTCTTCTGGGCAGAAGGTGCATCCAAGACAAATTATGAATGTTTTGGAGACGTTTTGATTTTGGACACAACATTCAGGATCGACAAACAGGGCATAGTTTGTGCACCATTTGGAGGAGTCAATCATCATAAGCAATTTGTATTGTTCGGTTGTGCCTTCTTGGTTGACGAAACGACCAACTCCTGTATATGGTTGCTTGAGACTTTTGTCAAAGCAATGGGCAGAAGTCAACTCAAAACTATTATTACTGATGAGAACCCCGCTATGGCTGACGCTGTACAAGTTGTTTTACCGGGATTACAGCATCAAATTGGTGCCTGGTACATCCGGCAAAATGCATTGAAGAAGCTAGCTTATCTATATGAAAAACCGGATTTCGAGACCTTGTTTGAGGAATGCATATCTGGTGGTCTAGCTGGGGAGGAAGAGTTTGCATCAAGATGGGAATTGCTGATAGAAAGATATGATCTCCATAAGAATCCATGGCTTAATGGTTTATATCAGTCCAGGGAAAGATGGGCTTACACATTTACCAAGAGAACCTTTTGTGCTGGCTTACAAAACAAAGGGATAAACAACATATTCCAAAGTTTGGAGAGAGATACTATGGACCTGACAAAGATAGTTTGGCAATACCTTGATGCTGCAAGGAAACAAGGAATGGAGGAATTGTATGAAGATTTCTGTAGCAACGGAACTGCCCAGGGATCGAAATTGTTGAGTGCAAATAAGATGGAGGAGCACGCTCATAGTGTTTACACACGCATAATATTCAAGGATTTCCAAGAACAGTTTTTAAGGTGCTGGTCATTTTCGTTGAAGACAATCAGCAGTGGAGATCCAGATACTGCTTTGTATGAGGTGACAGAGGATGGTACGAAAAAGAGTATCGTGGGGGTCAGGTGTCCGAATTACAGCGTCACATGTGACTGCCATAAATTTGAGTCGGAGGGCATCTTATGCGCCCATGCCTTAAAGGTGCTAAATGCACTAAATGTCTTTTATATACCATCTCAACACATACTAAAGAGGTGGACCAAATCAGCCAGAGGTGGTGCTGTGGCGGAATGTGATGATGATCAAGAGATGGCCGGTGAGAGGCAGCCACAGAAGCCTGGGAATTTGCTTATCCACAAAACCTTGAATGCTATAGCTAAAATGGAAGCGGTCAGGGAGATCCAGAGTGTTGCAGACAACTATCTAGGCATGGCGTCAACAGCTATGGAAGAGGTTATTCTACTAACCCAAACAGGTTAGTAAAACATACAATGTTGCAGTTTACATAAATTTAAATGCTGAGTGGCATAATAGATTTAGGTTCTGTTTACATATATATTGCTTCTGCGCATAAATAAGTTCCTCAGTCCTGTGTCCTAATCTCCTAATCTTCATGCACTTAAATAAAGTATATCATTTTGTGGATCGTTTGAATGTTTTACTCATTTCCTTGCTTTTAAGTGGTCCAGTGGTATCTGAACATCAACCAACAAGTGATGCTGCAAGCTGTGTTCGACAGTACATGCTCCATCTGAAAGCTCAGCAACAGGTTCACCTTCACTGCAGTTTCACTTGTCGTCAATAATAACTGTTGTGAGTTAAGTTGATAAAGTATAGACTTAGGAGTTCATATCTATCACTGTATTTCTTACAGAGCCACAATCTCAGCCACCTATTGCAAGACTATATATGTCCTAGAACTATACTAGATGGTGGGTCTCTGTTCCCTTCATTCGTTGGTTTCCTTTTGCACTATACAGCATAGCTGTTATGCTCACCTGTGCGTTTAGATACTGCAGATTGTTTTCTTTCCATATCTAAAAGAAATGGTCCTTGCTATCTGTTTGCCATGTGGCTAATATATCTGTGAAACTATGAGAATTATGACACATACTGACCAGCTAGCTCTCTTGATTTATTAGGACAATCTAGCTCATGTGATCCAGTACAACTAGGAGTTATTACTGACACCGATAGGTGGGTTTCTCTTAAATCAGCAGCTTGTCAATTCGTGATAGCATCGAGTGCCAAGTAGTTTAAGACTGTATATTTTCTGTATTGCCCAGGGCTGATGATGATGGAACTGTTACACGAAACTTGCTTCTGGCTATGCATGATCAAGTTCAGAAGTACGAGAAGACAACGAAAGAACAGAAGGTAGTCCACAGTAGTTCACATTCCCAAATGCAGGTAACTACCCTACTGGATTAGTCGATATAATGGTTAAATGTGAGTTAGATATGGTAACTAATAGGCTAAAAATGCAACATGAAGAAAGTAAAAAATTGTTCACATACGTGGTCATTTTCCTGGAATAGTCAGAAGCATTTGGAAACTACATATGTTCACATACGTGTTACATACTTACCATGGTTGTAGGAAGCTTTGGTTGGAATGAGAAAAGTCGGTGAGATCGTTGTGGAGGTTGCCAAGAAGGCCAGATTGACATTGACAACAAGAACAAGAACAGAAGGAGCCGCAATTCCTTCGATCAGATCCCACTGTGTAGACTTTTTCCAATCTGGATATCGTAGGAGGTTTTTGCGTAAGTTAATTAAGTGCTTCAACTGAGATGCCTATGCGGTAGCTTGAAAAGGATCATTGTATTTAGTTGTTCGACTGGATTTGTGCTCTTTGTTTTGGTTACAGAATCAGGAAGCAGCAGTTCGGGGATAAAATCTGACCGGGGAAGTTGTTCGAAATCTGTGATCAGCAGAAGACCACGAAAGTCGTCGGTACCCAAGTACATAGGAGTACGGCAAAGGCCATCAGGCAAGTGGGTCGCCGAATTGAGAGAGCAAGCAATGAGTGGTCCGTGTAGACTTTGGTTAGGCACTTACGACACAGCAGAAGAAGCAGCACTGGCCTATGATAGAGCTGTATCTCGAAGGAGTGTTGGACCTCCAGAACGCCTGAATTTTCCCCAACACGGCTTCGGTGGTTATAAGTTTCGCATGTCAATTTGATTTTGTTTAGAGAAGAGAACCATTTGAAACTTCAGTTGTATTTCATTTCCCTTTACAATAAAATAGTAAATATGAAAACAAAGAACCCATATGACCTTGACCTTAATAGTGACAACCTATCAAGAACACATTACTTATCGCCATCCCCTTCTGTAAAATGTTTGTTGGATTGTACTGAAGGTGATATTGAAAGTAGAAACAAAGGTAAGAAATACAGCAAACAGTCAGTAGCATGCAATTCAGGTTAAGTGTTTGTGTTTAAAGTCATAACATCTCATACAAAACGTGAAGAAATGCCACATCAAGCAACATCTCATACAAAACGTGAAGAAAGGCCACATCAAGCAACCCCATATTTGCAGTTTGGATGGGAAAAAGTGAGTCGCACTAAACTAAAATTGATGAGTTATCAAGTTCAGAATTTAACAATTTTGCTCGAAGACTAGTTGGTACATGCATAATCCTAAAATTTGAAAGGAGTACCTTCATTACTATGGTTGTCACGCCGGCCGGCGTGCCACCGATTGAAGCTGGTTCAACCGATACCGGTCATAAAATCGGCGTGACACCACCGGTATGACCGGCATGATCGATATACGAATCTTTAAGTAAAATGACCTTATTTTAGTGAATTTAATTGATAAAAATGATTTTATTATTTATTTTATGAGTATAAAAGTTAAATATTGATGTTATTTGTTGGATTCAAGTATAAATGTTTAAGTATTGACGTTAAATGTCATGTTTAAATATGAGTATTTATAATTTTATTTGTAATATTGACCGGTATGAACCGGCACAAACCGGTATGTGCCATCGATCGAACCATTCCACTTGCTAAACCGGCACACTAGCATAAACCGGTTTGACAACCTTGTTTGGACAGACTAGTTTGAATGGGCAGAACACTTTTGACCCCTTTCGCTTCAGTCTGCTTCTCTGCAACAGACGGTCAACCGAATCGACCGTTGGTCAAGGTCCAGCTCACTCGCCACGTCAGTTAGCAGGGAATAATTTTTTTTTAATTTTTGTATTTTATTTACTTTCTAATATCAAATAATAAACAAAAATAATAATAAAAAAACCTCAATTTATACCCTCTCCTCACTCTCTGTCGCTCTGAAACACCCACCAGAATCCTTCCTTCCTCCCTATCTTCTCCGCCACTAACTTCCTCCATCATCTCGCAATAGGCTAGCAGCATATCGACAACGGTAATAGCAGCAGAGGCAATTGCCCAGTCTCATCTCCTTCGTCTACGCCGCTCACATCCTTCCTTCGTCGATGATGGAAGTAGAAGCAGCAGAGGCATCGATAGAGCCAGATCGAGCTTCGGCGAAGGTTTGGGGAAGAAGACGCTCGGCGACCAATTAATCATTGGGGGTGGTGACAACTTGCTCCATCCGAAATGGGCAAGGAATCTTCTAGTCTCCGATAATGGAGCAGAGGAAGATGAAGAATCCGCGAAATTGCGAACTACAATTAAAATTGCAATCACCCCTTTTCCTTTTCTTATAACGGGAGGTGGATAATGGTAGGAAACGAAGGTAAATTCATGGATTAGGCAGAGTCATCTGATGGAAATGTAACCACGTTCCAAGGGTTTGCTCGTAACTCACGAATGGGAGAACGACTTGGGCGTCGATAAACCTTTAGTTTTATTATTCGATAAACCGGACTAAAGCCGAACTTACAATATATATAGACTACCGACCGAAACCCTAATCCTAACCCTAGCTGACTCAGCCTCGTAGAGACCTCTTCCTATTCCGAAACTACTAATCTAATAAACCCAAACCCCAAAAGCCCACTAGATGCGTCGGCCCTTCCCTAGCTCCAACTTGCACCCATCATTCCTTCCCCCTCAAAGAACCGTGGTCTCCAAGGTTCGAATGTCGATGATAAATCGCAGAGGACGACGAGAATGACACCTGCACCTCTTGCGGCGTCGAGGCGTTGGTCGCTTCCGAAACTTCCAGCATGCAGCTTGACCTCTGTTCGACTTTCCCTTGATGAATGGTGCATGGGTCGCTAGCCGAATTGTTGGGACTCCCAACTCGACAGCTTCAACTTCAGTAGATGCACGTAATCCCCCTGTAAGGTGGCTAGCATTAGGGCCAAAGAGAAAGAGGTTTGAGGGACTCCCTCTACGTACAACATCTTTGCCCCAAGAATGAGTGTGCCCTCTGTCAATTATGGGAGGGTGATTTTGTTGCACAAAACCCCCATCATTATAAATAAAGGGATCCCCATCGTCGTCCAAGGGAAGAGCCTGCCAGGCGTTCGGATTTGGATGGACGCCCATCGGCTTCCGCAAATCCTTCGGCGGGCCACCAAATTCCAAACTTCCCTCCGACGAACGCCGCGTTGACGGCGGCCTTTCGAGCGAATCCGGAAAGTTCCTGCTGATAACATCTGCAATGGCTTCCTTGGGCTGAGCTCCAACTTCAAAAACCTCCTTCCTGTCGTTTTCGGAACGATAGGTGAGAGCCTCGTCTAGGTGGAGACACCGCGGCGCACTGTTTCCTTTCCATCGCTTCCAGATCGTTGGGTGAGAGCCTCACATAGGTGCAAACCACCATTGCGCACTATTTCCTTCCCGTCGATCTCGTTGACGGAGATCTCCATCTCCTCCGCCGCCCTGGTTTCATTAGCGTCAACACGGGTCACATCATCGTTGCTTCGCGTGCCGCCAGAGGTGGTTCCGTGTTCTGGCTCGTTCAGCCAGCCGGCCAACTATTGCTTGAGGGCCCTGATCTCTTGGGTCATGTCGAGACATGCCGCAGTCATGCTCTTCGCCGCGGCGGTATAGGCTTTGGCGCAAGCACCCACGTCCACGATCATGGCTCTGATACCAATTTGATGGAAACGTAACCCACGTTCCAAGGGTTTGCTCGTAACTCACGAACGGGAGAACGACTTGGGCGTCGATAAATCTTTAGTTTTATTATTCGATAAACCGGACTAACGCCGAACTTACAATATATATAGACTACTGACCGAAACCCTAATCCTAACCCTAGTTGACTCGGCCTCGTAGAGACCTCTTCCTATTTCGAAACTACTAATCTAATAAACCCAAACCCCAAAAGCCCACTAGATGCGTCGGCCCTTCCCTAGCTCCAACTTGCACCCATCATCATCCTTCTTGCGTCGATGGCTTAGCGGAGTCGCCTAGGCTCATCACTGCAACTCCCACCCCTGCCGCCACTACCTGTTCAACTAGAGTAATCAGTAATCACCCCTGCTTCCGGCGAGTTCAGAAAGCCCTAACTGGGAGCTGGGCACGATGTGGGAGCTGGGTAACCAACTCATTCGACGACCAACCTTGATTCAATTCCTCAAAAAAAAAAAACCTCAATTTTTTCGTTTATTATTGTTATTCTTAGAAAGTAAACAAAATACAGAAATTCAAAAAAAAATATTTTTAATTCCCTGCTAGCTGACGTGGCAAATGAGATGGACATTGACAAACGGTCAACTCGGTTGACCGTCTAATTTGACGGTCAAACCCGCCTCCGGGTCAAATAAGGAAGTATGCTACATAGTTCAGGCCAGAATAGCAATTTCCGATACCACGGGCTAAAGTAGAAAGTTTGTCTGTAGTTCGGACCAAACTAAGGTATTTACCCTTTTTCTTAAAGCAAGACTTCTGCTCATCCATTGACGCACTGACGAATTCATCAATTTGGCCTTTCAAATCCTCAAGAAAAGTGGCATCCTCCTTCTTGTACGTGCGACACGTTGATGATACTGCAGGTGGTTGCTGTTTCTCCTGCGATCCTTTTGATGCATCCATCCTTGGTTTTCCCTACTGCTATAATAAATTCAACCAAAGAAAGCCTGCATCGAACATTCACATCCACAGAACCCATGAGAAATCATTAAACTATGGCAAAATAAACCTTCATAGCCATAACTATTCGCGTTGTGACAAATATAGCCACTTTTTGAAAAATACACTCGTATAGCCATTTCGTCCAAAACTTTAGCGGCAACATCATAAATGCTGAATGTACTAACTTTTTCTAGTGACGTGACAATTTTTTGTTTAAACCAATCCTAGGTGGAAAATTTCATTTCTTATTAAATTATTATTATAATTACATTAAAAAGAAAAAATAATAATTAATGAAAAGAAAAACCGACAATCTTCTTTTCCCCTTCTTTCCAACTACCCAGGAAACCCATCCCGATCATCTTTTCCAATTCCTTCTCCCCAATCCCTTCGCATTTCAGCCTCTGCCCGTCGCTGCAATGGGTACCGACCTCTGCGGCTCGGCGGCCACAAGAATCCTTAACGACCGTCGCAGACCCGCTCTGAGATTCTCCCTGTCAGGGTCTCCGTGAGCTTAGTCGACGACTCCGACGAGATGAGTCTTCGAGTGCTGGTTCTTGGCTTGAGATTCTGGAAACGTCGACGAGCCCCACGGACTATCCTCCGCCATTGCGGTGATTTTGTGAGAGCTTGAATGACTAAGAACCCCTAACCTAGACCCTTTTCTCTCTTCCAATCAAAACAGGGACAAACCTTTTCATCTCTGCCGCACCAGAGGAAGACAATTATGATGACGATGGCGACGATGACTTGATAAAGTCAAAGTCGTCGCTGGTAAAGCAATCTTCATATCTGGGTTCTAGTGGCGGCGACCGATCTGTGGATGATTACAAGACTAGTGAGAGAGAAGTAAGGGGAGCGATATTTGGGTCTCTGCCAATTTAGGGTTCTACTTTTGTTAGTCGTTCGTCAACTGCATATGTTCAATATATGATTTAATTATTAGATTCTCCATTATGGTTATTTGGTTGATTCAAAATTGGGGTTTATGAGCTTGTCTCTGCTTTGATGTGTGAATGGCTAGAAGAAGAGAAGAAGATGATTTCCCCTGTTTTGTTTCTTGCGTGAGGAAGAAGATGAAGGGGGAAGATGATTTCCCCTATTTCTACCCCAACCCAATGACAAACAGAGAAAGAAGAGAGGATGAAGCCGGCAACGACGAGACCGACGGCTCGAGGAAGAAGAACAGAAAGAATTCCAAACGACGGAGAGGGAGACGGGTCGATGGATCGGAGAGTGACAGACGGAGATCGGATCTCATTCTCTGCTCTCTCCATGGGGAAGGGGAAGGAGAATTGGGGAACATATTAAATGATTTTTCCTTTTTGATTAGAATAGTGGTAAAAAAATAATTAAGGAAGTTATTTAAAATAATAATTTAAACTGAGAT